TAGGATAGCGACGTTGGCGGGAGCGTGTGTAGCAGGTCCATCCTTTAGCGAGGGTTGGTGGGGAATGGCCACGAGAAAGCATGCGACGAGTGAGTGTTGTCGCTGCAGTCCGGAAGTCCTGCCAATTCTTGCAGATGGGTTCAAATCTGGTCAATTGCCCAGTGAAAGTCAAACAGAGCTGCCCGGTAAACTGTAGGCAGAGAGGGAGAAGAGGAAAATAAACGAGGGGCTGTGACAAACTGTTTTGTCGGAGCTTCACCGACTCGTCAGGAGGCTAAACCCTCAACAGTCTGCAGAATCCCCTAGCTGATTACACTAAGTGATAATCCACCTTAACTCCGGCTTTGGTTAAGCATCAATGACTGCCTGACAACTGATACCATGAGGTGGGCACCAACCACTGCCCTCAAGGTACCTGTGACGAAAATCAAAGCAGACTATCACTCACCCACACCAGATGGAAAACTCTACAGACTGTCGGTTCACACCCCATCACAAGCAAGCAAAACACCCACGAAACAAAGAATGGTCTGTCACAGCCAAAACATACACTCCAGACACGCCGCTAGCACTAGAGGCACAGCATATATATCGTCAAACAGACCTGCCCAGTAAACCGCAGGCAGAGAGGGAGAACAGAACAACAAACAAGGGGCTGCGACAAACTGTTTCGTCACACGAAGTCCACACTGGAGACCAGAGATGCAAAGTCCAAATAAGCGCAGTTTAGAATTTCCATCAAATATCATATCAAGCGGTTACAGAGTTCCAGTCACCAGCGCTCATTAGCGCACAGTTCAGCAATCCAATTCCTGCACTCTTCATCCAATCTCTTCTCTCTCTGTCCCCCCCCCTCTCTCTCTCGGCCTTCTTCATGCATGCACTCACTCTCTCTCTACTCTCACTCTCCCTACTTCAAGATCTTGACTCTGAATACATCCGACCTGACTCTATCTCCTACTACTAGCTATGCGGCTATGGCCGCCTTCCTTCCTCAACGCAGCGCTGCCCAGCAGGGCTCTCGTGCATGCTACTCGCAGATAGCGCACAGCACTTCAGCAGCACTTCCACACTTCTCACGAATGAGCAATCTCCCCGAAATGTGGCTGGCCAGTCCTTATATTGACTTGGACTGAGCCTGAACTCGTCCCAGCCTCTGCTTCCTTTGGCTTGACTTGGACCCGGTACCACATGCCCACGGCCTGCTTGCTTCAGAATGTCAAGGCCTGGTACTTTCCCGAATTGTCATTGGTGTGCTGTTGCTTGGGTCTGTGAGTCACGACTTTTCACCGGTGGAACATGACTTTTGACTGTGGGATGTGACTCTTGCCTCTGGGACACGACTTTTGCCTGGAGAAGCGTCCTTTGCCTTTGGGATATGACTTTTCAATATGAGACGTGACTTTTGCTCTGGAATGTGACTGTTCACCGGGTGCCTGTTGGACTTGACTCCTAAGGTACTCGACTGCGACCTTTGGCCCCCCTTGGCCTGAGACCTTGACCCTGAAATTCGAATTTGGGGTCTGCATCGTGGAATGCCTTTCACTGATTACACTGTGGGGGATAATCCACCTTAACCCCAGTTGTGGTTAAGCATCAACGACCGCCCGACAACTGCAGTGATACCCTGAGGTGGGCACCAACCACTGCCCTCAAGGTACCTGTGACGAAAATCAAAGCAGACCATCACTCACCCACACCAGATGGAATACTCTACAGACTGTCGGTTCACACCCCATCACAAGCCAGTAAAATACCCATGAAACAAAGAAAGGTCTGTCACAGCCAAAAAATACACTCCAGACACGCCGCTGGCACTATATATATTGTATATTATTTTTTTGATCTTAAATTTGGTAGCCCACGGACATGGATGAAGGCCCAGCATAACAGGTTTTGTTGACTGTCAATGCGGATAAGCACGACCGGTAGCCCACGGACAAGGATGTGTCATTTTTTCACGAGATTGGCTCATGCGACTAAGGTCGATTGATTGGCTCGTACTCCGTCATGGATGATGTTCTGATGCACGTAACGAGCTAGAGAAGTTCAACACTGTGTGCGCACATGCATCACACAGTCCCAGATGAACCCCTCAGTCGCGAGCTTTCCCGCAAACAGCCGGCGTGCTGCTTACTTGGTGTGCACGGATGACCCGCAGAGTGCACGATCTTCCCTTTCTAAGCATCTGGCGTGCTCAGATTTTCACTCCTTATTGTGGCACAATGGCACATCACATATGTTGACAGTGGAGAGAGGGAGCTACATAGGTTTTGGAGTGGTGCTGTTCATCTTGGAGGGGATTGGAGATGTAGATGTGCGAACAGTGACCAAGCAGTTGATATCATCAACTTTGTTCAAGTTTTTTGTCAGTTTATGGTAAGGTTGATTGTTGGCCATCATTCTCTCAGTACTCTTCATCATCGTGCAAGATAGTGTTTGAGAGATGATGAAGAGGAGGAGAGGTGGTGGGACGTGGGGAGGCATTACTGTGGGATGATGTACAGGACCAGAGGTAGCGTGATGAAGACATCTGCTGTTTATCGTTTTTTCTCCACTTCTCTTCTTTCTCTCTCCATCTCACCTCATCGCTCGTCTCCTACCTTTGTCAATATGCACAAAGTTCAATTGGGATGTATGGGTGGATTAAAATCTTGCATTCCATCACTTAGACAACAAGAGGATCACTATACGCAGGAAAATGGGCCTGTTTCCCGGCGATTTCTCAGATGCCATCTGGTCCTGATAAGCGTCCAGGTGCACTATGGCCATGGTTCACACCGTGCAAGTTGAATAGCACAACTCACTCCGCTCGCCAGAGCAGACGCGAAGCGTCTGCTCTATCGCCAGAGTCACCTGGTTTAGGGCGCTGCAGCGACTCGTCACCAAACTCACCTGACTCCCGCCGGTGTGATGATATGCACTGCTAGTTGGGCAGAGGAATACGTCCAATGCAGACTGCCTACAGAAAATACCTAAAAAACGTAGTTCAATCATCTCTCTAATGTAATAAGGAAGCATGCAGGTAACAAAGCCTTTTGGTCAAGTTGAGCCAACTCAGGCCTGAATATCTCCCTGCCCTAATATCTCCGCAGACATACCTAACAAACGTAGTTCAATCATCTCTCTAATGAAATAATGAATCATGCAGGTAACAAAGCCTTCCAGTCAAGTTGGGCCAACTTAGGGCTATATATCTCCCTGCCCTCATATTTTCGCAGACAAAACATGATACGTATGTCCAGGTCCGAAGAATGTGCAAAAGCAGGATGTAAAGGGGGCTCCTGACACACACATTAGGCCCCATTAGAGAACACTTAAGGTACAGCCCATTTCTTGACCCTTTTTAAAAGTGTTTTGCGAAGAGAGACTGCACGTAGCGGGAGAAACAGAAGCAGGAAAAGCAGGAAGAAGCACGCTATAATAGTAGGTGGCAGAGAAACGATGGAGAGGGGGACGAGGAGGACAGCAGGAAAATGAGCAAGGGAGGAGGGGAAATGGTGAGGGTTCTAAGGGGGGGAGGGGGAGGGGATGGGGGACCGAAATCCACATTAGGACAGCTAGAAGACTAAAGGATGATGAAGATGATGGGAAAAAGCAGAGTAGGAAAGAAGAAAAGGTCTACCTTTCCCCGCAGCTTCCCCGCAGAAATTCCCGAAGAAAATGATCCTTGCCCATCGTCAGCAGCATCTTGCCCTTCTTCCTTTACCTTCTCGGTTAACAGCCGGTATCGCTCCCTGCAGTCCTCAGGCTTTCTGAACACACCCTAATCATAATAGAGTTCCGTGCCCATAGGCAAACCAAATACAAACAGAATATTGAAGAGACATTAAACTGGAAAAACAAAACCAAATGAAAAAAGAAGCAATTCACATAACTACTTCAGTGTGCACCTTAAGTGCACTATCCGTGTATGCCTTTCACAACTGAAAGAAAAAAGAAACCAGTACGCGTGTTCCAACATTTCACAAATTCACACACACAACCCAACCACCTCAAGTCCCCTGGCATTAATCCAGAAATCATCATCAACATAATATGGAATTTGCCCCAGACATTTGCCAAAGTGAAGATCCCATTTCACTACGTTCCGGATGGACAAGCGTTTCCAATCGCCTTGAGAAGAGTCCAAGAGTGCTCGTTCGGTGAGATACAGTACAAGAATGCGCAGAGGACTGTCAGACACATTGCTATTACTCCACACATTTGTAAAGGTGAAATTCTGGGTGAGAACAACTCTGCCCGGCTTTCCCATCAGAGGGCAAGCTTCAGATATTTTGTCACAACAATGCAAACAACTGGCAGAGGATGGAAATCTAATTGCTCTTTCTATTGGGAAAATTGCACCTGTTGCCCCATGTACAGATGGGAATACCCGTTATACCCAGTCCCAGTGCTCAACTTGCTACTGTACCCGGGAAATGGTCTGTGAAAATATTTGCATGCCCAGGACCGAGGTGGGCCAAGGTTGGTACTACCAAATTCCAGTTATACTGTTATACCCAACTACGGGAATGCTCAAATCATGCATACACCCAGGCAAATTATGTCCATAGCACTGCATACCTGATTTTAATTTTGCCTGTCCGGATCCTGGGCATAAGCATAATTTTGTGCTCCCCAACCAAGGGCCTGTGCAACTGGGTGTAGGGTACTACCTTGAACCACCAGTACATGGGCAGCTGGGCCGCGGGTCTGAAAACTCAAATTCTGGAGAGGCGAAATGAAAACGAGGCCATCGATCGAATCTATCAACGGCGGGCGCAGCGTTTGACGTTTCGGCCTCGTTTTCTTGTGGTGACAAGTTTCGGACTACAAGGCTGGCGCTGTGTACTTGTGGTTTAAGTTGGACAGGGTCTGGGTATAGATGCAAGTTGGGCGCTGGGACTGGGTATAGCGGGTATTCTCATCTTTAAGTGGGGTACAGATGCAGTTTTCCCTTTTCTATTCAAAACTTGGCTGCCTTCGTCCTTCGGCAAGGAAGATGAGCAATAGCGAACTTCAGCAATCAAACAGCATCATACACATTAGACCGAACCAAGAGCAGAATTGCATCACGAGTTTCACCAAATAAGAGCACACCAAAAGCTCATAATTGACAATGCTGGAATAGTCTCATCATCATCATCAACGAAGAACCAATGTTGATATCCTATCTGGCGCTCGACACCCAGACTACAGATGGCAGATCCTATCTAGCCTACTCTACAATGCCGATGATGACGACAACAGCTCTCCCGAAGTACGAGCAGATAGCGGCCAATGCCGCACGCTTCCAGCACCAGGTATGTCTCTCGCATCACTCACAACCTCGTTCCCCAACACAGATGCCACATGCACCCAAGGACCACCCTGCGCCACACCCAGCTCACAGCAGCACAGCTCGGCTATGGCTGCCTGCTCCTTCCAGCTCGCCCGTGAGCGCATGAGCGCTAGCCAGCTTCAGCGCAGCAGCGCTTGCGCAGCATGCAGCCAGCACCGGAATGTCCAATGCGTAGGCAGGCCCTTCCCTATATCGAAGTGGCCTGCGGCTGCGTGCTGTGCTGCGGTACTGGGCCTCAGTCCAGAAGCTTCTGGTAGGCCCAGGGAGGCTGAGCCTCAGTCCGAAGTCAACAGGCCCAGGGGCTGTGTTGGTTACCCACACCCAACTGCCCTCAGCGTTTGTTCGGTCCACTTGTGTATCCGGCCCAGGGCCTGCCTCAGTTACATGCAATGCAAGGCAGCCTGGGCCTGGGCGCTTCCAACCAACTGGCACTGCGCAACTGCCTGAATTTCCCTCAGTTGCGTAGTAGTCCAAAATAGGCCTCTTGAGGTCTGTCGAGCCTGCCTTCACTTACGGCGGCCGACGCTTGTTGCAAATAGGGGCCCAGTAGGGCTTATCGAGGCCTTGTGCCTCGCACTTCCAAAAATCCGTTAAAATTCGAATGATGCAGAGAAGATTAGCATGGCGTCTGTGCAAGGATGACACACAAAAATTAAGAAATGGTTTTCTAAATTTCTAAAAAAAAAAAAAAAAAAAAAACTTCTTTCATGTTCTTTGAGTTCTCTGTCTTTTTTAGAGGGTAACAGCCTTGAGGAATTGCCACCGAATTCATCAGCCCCAGGTAATTCAGAGCTACTTTGTTTGTCTGATTCCATCATCGTTCGAACTCAGGGTTGTTCATAAACAGTTCATGGTTGCACCATTCAGCCACATGGGCAAGGTGTGTTAGGGCAACGGGAAACAATAGGTTATTAGGCTACTAGCAGCAAAATGCAACAAACTAAACCAGAACACAATAGCGCAAAGAGAAGCCACCGGCCTAGCTCAGTTGGTATCGCACACAAGAAGGATTCAGGAGGTTGTGGGTTCAATCCCCCACAACCGCCTGCAGCATTCTTTGTTCATCAGCTGAGATATGTGGCTTTCCCCCCCCTCTGGTCGGCCTTGGTATTGTCCTGGATCCTCATGGAGGCCTTCACCCCTGCCATTCCTCGTAGGGGGTTAGTTACTGCGCATAGTAGATTTTTCGGCTGCCTCTATACTTGGTAGTATATTTTGGTTGGTCCTATCCACTGTGCTTAGACATGGGTTGCTGTGCGTCGGCAGGTAGGTAGGTAGTGTGAGGTATAATTGTGAGAAGAATGTAGCTTAGTTTTATATTAAAAAAAAAAAAAAAACAGAAGCCCAGCAAAGAAGGAACTATGTATGTGGTTACTTGATGTTACAATCTTGCAACGCATATGGATCCGCAAGCCCAACAGAGGAGGAAATACATATGTGGCCACTGATGCTAGTGTGAGGATTTACCCCTCGGCATACCAGCATAAGGCCCCCGGCAGCAAACGCGTGCCCAAGGCGGGCCCCTGAATCTCAATGAGCCCTGAATTCGTCAATTGTTGCAAATATTGTTGGGTGGCAGACAGTTGCCACGCGCCAGTTGCAGAAGCGGACTCTACTCAACACGTAGCAGTACAGTGCATCACTTATCCGTAATATAGATACATAAAAACTACCAAAACAAGGGAGAACCTCCGACCGAGTGACGCAAGCAAAATACTGATAATGAATGCGTCGGTGCGGACAATCAGCAGGGAAGTCATGTGTTGATACATGCGCTGCGCCCCTCAACGACTAAAGGAAATCCAATTAAAGACATGCTGCCTATTAGCATCATAGCATAAGTAAAAGGTAACAAAGAAGCTAATCCTCCCATTTTGCGCATATCGTGTTCATCAGACATTGCATGAATCGCAGAACCTGCACTCAAAAAAAGTAATGCTTTAAAAAGAGCATGGTTCATAAGATGAAATACACTCACAGAATAATTGGAGATACCACAAGCGAATACCATATAACCTAATTGGCTACAAGTAGAATAAGCAATAACCCTTGCGTAAAGTCTCTGAGGATCCCAAACAGCTCGGCGGTCGCTGGCTAGGGCGAGCGGCCGTACTTTTTTGTGGTTTCCTGCTGATAACCTCCAAGACACCACACTAATTCTCGTGGACTGGCATAACTCCCATAATAAAGACCACGAAAAATATGAAGATAAACCACAATAAAGAATAGAGTGAAACTTTCACACCCTTAGTGATTACTCGAGTCCTCTCCGAACCGTACGAGATAGTCACCTATCATACGGCTCTAGTTAGGGGTGTTCAAATAGAACTTATTAGCGTTGTATTAAAAAAATACAGCTATTCGAATTGAACGTATTAGCGTTGTATTCGAAAAATACGGCTATTCGAATAGAACGTATTTGCTTTGTATTTGAATAGAACACACCCTATGCGTTTTATTCGTTTACAACGCATATGCGCTATGTTCGGGGGAAGAAGGGAGGACATTTTCACTTCTTTATTGACATAATTGCGGTCATATACATCCAGGTCCGGCCGTAAATGCCGTCAGATACATTTAAACCACCAATACCTTTGGCCAACATTTTTCCGACCATGGAAATGCCCTGGGCGTCAAAAGAAAACAAACCGGCACTGGCCTTCTTTTGGCTGGTGTTGCCAGCCATTTTGCTCCGGTACCCCTCAAACCCCAAGAAGTTTGTGGCGCCTTAACAGCTGCGTTGGAGAAAAGTCGCTGGGAGAGGTACTGGTGGTTTAAGATAGAGCTAGTATGAGTATGCCCTAAGCCTCTATATGCACATAGCAGTTGGTGGGTCTTGTTTGCCCGCACAACGAAGTGCTGCAGAAAACTATGTTTTTGCACGTTCAAGACCACGGTCAGCCCATCACTAGTTCGAGGGTGCCAGAGAAAGTTACTAGGTGGGTGAGATTGATTATGGACAATTAAGTCGAGAGTTGGAAGGCGCGAACCAGTAGCTGACGAGCAGCTTCTCGAGCCACGTGAAGGATGCTTTGACGGAGGACCTTCCCCAAAAACAGTCCTTGCCTGGAGGCCTTCCACGGATATAATGACAAGACCTCCAGCACCCCATTGGTCCGAACCACCTGACAAGACTTGGGAGCCTCCCAGGGTCATGACTGTGTTCTTTAATATCGTTATGCCATACGATCTTTGCTACCCGGTGAATGAGATGGGGGAAAGTGCACTTTTCAGTTTGTTGTTTGAATGACTAAGGGCAGGACAGGGGCATTGCATTTTCAGTTCTTGTAAGCAGGAGTGTGCCGGAGGCAGAGGTGGGGTGTTAGTACCGTGTTACAGAAAGGCAGATTTTTTTTCTCCAGTATTTGCTGTTGTCACTTTCTATGACCTTGTCATAACTTTTACCGCTGTTATTTAAAAATCCTCTTCAGTCTCCTCACCATTCATTTCCCGCCGCCCCCTGCCTGCCCCCCCGACCGCCTCCCTCTCTTTCTCTCTCCTCTTTTGCAAGTGTACATAAGATCAATTGGTTTCATGCGCGTCTGCAACAAATGAAAATGCAATGCCCCTGTCCTGCCCTTGGTCATTCAAACAACAAACTGACAAGAGGATTTCCCCCCCTCTCCCTCCTATTCCTCTCCCTGGTCCATGTACCCCTCCCGACTGGTCCCTCAAACTTGCCTGCAATGGTACAAAAAAAGGCATGCGACCATGGGGAGGTGATGTGGTGGGGGTGGGTTGTTAGGCAGGAGCGCGTCGGAGGCAGAGGTGGGGGGTGTCACATCAAGGCAGGTTTCTTTCTCCAGTGTCTGCTGTTGTTGTCACATACTATGAGCCCGTCACAACTTTTACTGCTGTCGAGTTATGTGAGAATTCTTCAGTCTGCTCACCATTCATTTCCACCTGTGCCGGAGGCCGAGGTGGGGTGTTACATTCCGGCAGGTTGGGGGTGGCCATGAATGTCAGGCAGAGATCACGATTGCCCATTTGCCCACACTATGCAACGTCCCTTTTTCGTTTTCATGGGTGTTTTTGGCACGCAGCACAAACAGTCGCACGAGGCAGCTACTGCCTCAGAAATTTTGAGGTGCAGCATGTCATGCCATTGCACAACGAGGGCCTTGAAAATTTTGACCCCAACACCACACACACCGTTGCACCGATGCTCACTGAGGGCAATAAAAACTTTCGGGGCCACCACCACGCAGAGTATCAAGATTTGCCAATCGACAGCTGTGAAAACCCAACATGCATGCACACACACACATGCACTTTTTTCTATCATCATCGCAAGCAAACAAGATAATTCCACAGGGAAGTAGAGATACATGGGCACACATGCAGGGACACAAGAGGAGAGAACTCACCTTCAAGTGAGAGCTTGAACTTAGAACATCACTGCACAAGTCCCAATTTGATTCAAAATCTTGAACCAAGGCGCAAAGGGCCTGCATACAAAGGCATGAGTTGCATACATCGGATAGCTTAAGCAATGGAAGACATAAATGATGAGCGCAGCGGGAGTCGAGATCATGAAACAGCACTCACTCCTGTAATTCACATGAGACGTAAACACCATACACTGCATTAACACTGTTAAGAGGTGGTGCACAGCCCCAACTGCTGTGCCCTCGTGCAAGAAAACAAAACCAAAACGAAACCACTCTATCTCCAAAGCACAAACCAGTCTGTTGTGAAGAGCACCTTTGCTCAGTTAGGTGAGGTGCTGAAAAGAGTGAAAGCAGCAGGGAAAAGGAAAAAAAGGAAACAGGGACAGTGTCATGGCTATGACTCTATCAAGCTCTGGGGAACATCACACTCATTCACCTTCTGCCAAAACATCTTTGAGGGAATTCAGAATCTGAGGGACCCTTCCCTACATCATACTAGCCAGCTGCCATCCACAAGCAATTGCCTCTCCCTTTTCGCCCTCTAGCTTTCACCCATTGGATGTCATCCGAGCTGTATTACCGCAGTCAGCCCCTCGCCTCATTTGTTCACCGGATGAATTGCCCTTCTGACACTCTCCCCTACCATATCCCAGAAACTAAAAAAGTAGTAAAAACAATAAATACAGAAATTTGGAAATGATGCCACCACCCCCCTCCCCCCCCACAAAAAAGGCAAAAAAAGACTATCAGAGCACAAATAAAAACATCTCAGTTGTCCTTGGGGACATCTGTTAAAAATGGAACGATACAGAAAAGATTAGCATGGCCCCTGCGCAAAAACAACAAGCACCAATCGACAAATGGTCCAACCAAAAAAAAAAAAAAAAAAAGTGTCTCAATTGAAAGAAACAATGCAGAATCGCAGGTCCCTGGCCTGCTTTCAATCCACATCTGAATATATCTGATGATCACCCCAAAATCCCATGTGAATGTTTTACAAATTGTCGGTCAAAAATACCTAACCTCAATAAAACCAGCATGTACAGCCCCAAAACTGACATATTTAGCCCGCTTGTAATTCAGTGGCCAGCAAGCCTATCACATCACAGTGTTGAAATCGCAATGATCACCATTTAGAAAACAGAGAACCGTTTCCACTTGTCAAAGAGCAGACATGGCTGGCGGGAAAACAAGGTGGACTTTGAATTGTTTTTTTTTTTTACCAACTTGTACTGGAATTTCATGAGCGACGCTGCCCATGGTAGAGGACATACCATTTCCTCGCGGTGAGACCATGGAACTCCAGTGTGAGCTCCTGTGGCTGCTCCTGCAACTCCTGGCCCTGGAAGACCCTGCGAAGAAGAATTAACCGGGAAAAAAATGGAAAGAAAATTTAGTAAACAGCGAGCCTTAAAAGGTGCATCTTACTGTGACGAACATCAAATTTCATAGCATACGGCAATTCCAATAACATCGCGGACCGCCAACTCCTCTTGGTGAGCCATGCCAACAAGGCTGTTGTTCGATTCAATGAAACAAACACACTCCTCATGTGCGTCAGAACGTCCTCCAAATTTGCGCTTAGGGCTTACTCACACTTGTAGTTTAGTGACAGTGCTGGATACGAATCAAATCGGGTCAGGAAAGTTGTGACACGAGTCATGCTGTTCGTTGTGGGCCGTATTAAACCATGTCTGGCACCTTTGAAGAGCGCGTGGAGAGAAACAATTGGGGCTGCAGCCGTGACGCCCGAGCCATGAAGAAATCTTGCAAGGCGGCCGTGTACTGGCTGGCGGTTTGACTCACCAGGACCATCGTCAGTTGACATGGGTTGCATGGGGCGTTTGGAAAATAAATGATATCTCGGACGAGGAGACCGAAAATTGGGTTGAGCCTACCATTGAGGGAAAAAGGGGTCCGGGTGTACTTGAAAAATCTTCTACTACTCATACAGCTCGTACCAGATAGATGGAAGGATTTGCTAAAACAAGAGTTCACATGGAAACCTGGAGAATGACAGGGTCCTAAATTTTCCTACTATAAGACAGAAAGAATACCGGAAAAGAGCACACAAATTTATTCGATATACAATGTTATACATCACATTTGTGTTGAAAACAGAATAGATACGAACACAACATCGTCCTGTCCACAACTCTGAAAGAATGCAACCGAGTGCAAAGAACGGCAACCTCCACCATCACAACATAAACTTACCGGACTCGTAAGAGCTTTTGGTTTGTTCTTGCGGCCCAGGTTTCGGCTCGTCACAGGCTTCAAGGCCTTCTGCCCGGGAAGATCAGTCTGCAAGATGGTTCCCCCTGCTGTGGCAGCTGACGTGCTGACAGTTGTTTGCGAAGCGGCCGCCACACATCCTCCACCTGCTGCCAAACCTCCCGGTGGGTCGGCGGCAGCCTCGCCAGCCGTGCTCCCCTTCTTCCCCTTGCGTCCAGGAATGCCAGCACCACTCTGTGTCTCAGTGGCACCTGCAGGTGAAGCAAGCAACATCCACAGAATCGCACCTCAACTCTAAAAATGACGACAAGAGCGAGATACAATGATCAATCCCAAAAACAAACAAACAAACAAAAAAAAAGGCCAATCCAAGTAGTGACACCTGTCTGACATCACTTCACATTCTCCTAATGAGCTTTGCTGAGCTAGCGTCTGCTCAATTATGCAATTTGCTGTGTTATGCTCTTCTCACCACCACTGTTCACTGTAAGCTCTGTAAGCTCTTACAAAGCAGCGTAACAGGCATCGAGTATGGCAGAGTTTGGCAAATAACCTCAGATGCCTCCTTCAAGTATAACCCAACTCCTCCCATGGGAATGAATTCCCAAAGCGGCGAAATGGCTGGCGGCGCCAGCCAGATACGTCCATATCGGTTCGTTTTTCTCTGGTGTGCAGGGCAAATTCAGGCCCACGGCCGATACATGGGAAAGGTACTGGTGGTTTAAACGGAGCCAGAGAGGGAGGTATTATTTGCAGCAGATCCCCAAGGAGCTGAAAAGCGCCCAGAGATGGTAATCCCCAACTGCCTAAACAGTTCGCGAATTCTAACGTGCAACAGTGGCTACATCAATCCGTGATCCAGCGATGGTCAGAATCTAAATATATGCTTTCTCAGAGTTTCAAAAAGCTTTAAAAGCATTCTGAGATCCTATATACCTCTGCAGGTTTTACAGAGGCAGAGAGAGCTGGCAGACGTCCACAGAAGATGCTACTGTGTCGCGTTGAATAAGCTGCATGTGCATTCATAATCATCATCATTAACACCGCTTTGTTTGTGGTAATTCTAATCATTCAACAAAATAAAAACTATTAACAAATTTAGTAATTTTAAATATTGAATTTTATGGGGTCCGAATGACTCGGAAAGCTAAAAAATATCGAGCATTACAAAACCAGATATAGAAGGATCCATTATACATAGATCATCCAATCTACAGGTTAGGAGTTCAAACTTCAAAACCTGTTGTCCTTCGGGACATCCATTAAAATTGGAACCATACAGAGACAATTAGCACGGCCCCGGCTCAAGGATGACATGCACAAATCGACAAATGGTCCAAAGCTGTGTGGCACACCGAACATGTTCGGGGCTTTTCCGAACGTCCGAACATGTTTGGGTGTTCCGCCGAACGTCTCCCGAACATGTTCCGTCGAACATTTTTTTTAATGACTTTTTTTTTTTGGCTTTTGATTTTTAACTCGAGTTTGGTTACAAATTTGGATATGCCTCCCAGGCAAAAGTTGTTTGTATTATCATTCTACATAACTGTCAAAACATATATTTTTTTCACATTTTTCTGAGGGTTTTGAAGCACATTCACATTGGTCACCGAATGCGAAAACCATGCTACACAGCTTAAAAGTTGAAACCTATTTCATTCTTATGTTATATTCCTGTTCATTTCCTAAAGCAAAACTCAAATCCGAGACAATAACAGTAAAATTTAAAGCTTATAAAAGCAACTCAACAATAAGAAGAATGAGATCGGGAGAGAAGAAGAATTCATTCTTATGTTATCTTCCTGTTCATTTCCTGAAGCAAAACTCAAATCTGAGACAATAATATTAAAAGAAACTCAACAAGAAGAAGAACGAGATCCGGAGAGAGGAAGAATTACGGAAAGAAAAACATAAAGAGCGCAAGCTTGAACCAATGCCATCTCTCTCCACACTTCTGCATGGTAAACAGCGCAAGCTTGAACCAATGCTATCTCTCTCCTCACTTCTCCGCCGTCATCATCACCCACATAATCACCCCCTTCCTCTCGATGCCATTTCTCTCCTCACTTCACCACTATCATCACTCTTACATAATCACTCCCTTCCTCTCTAGTACCGGTGTAAACATGTATTTCAGTAATAATGTTTGAATGATCCACCTTACTCCCAGTGCCTTTTTTCCCCCTTGTTACTCTGCTTGGTGTGGCTACTTGCTATGGTGGACCGTCCATGTTCAACAGGTGCCCCAGCAGGGGCATACGGTGGTCCACCGTAGCCAAAGGTAAATCTCCTTGTTGGTTCACCCCTCCTTCATACTCTGTAGCCCGACTTGGAGGTCTTCTCCCTCTACATCCATAGGCTAGGATGACTCCCACCTCCTCCTGCACCTACTCCATGGCCATGCTCTACTACTTCCAACCCTCAGCTCCTTCACCCCAGCGGTCCGCCTCACTCTCCCTCTTGGAACGAGCAGGACTGTCGAGTGAACAAGCAGACTACTAATTGCACCGAATGATATACCCTTGCTTCCAGTCCCCAAGTAGGTCTTTGCCATGCTCTTGCTCTCCCTACCTTCCTGGCCTCCGCTGTGTGCACTAGGCCGACCAGGTGTTCCCTCCTTCCGGTGGGAACATCACTTTGGACTGATCTCTCCCTGCAGGACCTGAACCTACTGCTAAAAGCTATATACGTTCGGCCCTGGGCCATATGGACCTGGCGGACAGCACCCTTCTGGGCCTACCAGTCTTACTGAATACCCTACCTGGTCCCTCACAAATTCTACTTATGTCCCCACCCACCAGAGTGTGAAACCCACGCACTTTCAAATTTCCACCCACGCCAGTCCAAAACCCATACAACTTGATACATTTCTATCCACACGAGTTTGGAATATGTACAACCGTACTACAACGTTCACATGTTCACCCCCACGCATCGAAGAATCTGTGTTAATGGGTGACGTAACTTCCGACGCCCAGTTCGAAAATTCACAAACAACAGGGCACACGACAGGAGGTCAAGTTCTAGGGAGGAAGGATCTCAGTTATGCACCCACACCTGGTACACTTGCACCCGCGCCTGCCGAAGACTCTGGATTGACAGCTGACGCATCTTCCAGAAATTGCTCCGTCTTCACCTTCAACTGCAAGGGGTACAAAGCAGAGACCGGCACTGTTGGTCAAGTCCTCCTGACCAAGCGTACATGTAATCCAAAATGGTCAAGCCTAGACACTGAATAGCACATCACCTTACCTGTAAGGTGGCTAAATGGCTCACTTCTGCAAATCTTGATAGATAGAGCATGCGTTCAATTCCTGTCGATACATAGTGTTAGGGGTTAGACCCAAAGTGGAGATCTCAGAGCATGAGCTTGTTGAGTTTTGCCTGCATTGTAGCGAGGCAGATACAGGGCATCGCGTTACCTGCAAGCTGGCTAAATGACACACTCCTGTCAATCTTGACAGACGGAGCACGCGTTCAATTCCTGTCGATACATAGGGTTAGGTGTTACACCCAAAGCGGAGATCTCAGAGCATGAGCTTGTTGGGTTTTGCCTACACTGTGGTGAGGCAGATGCAGCACCTGCAACCTTGCACCGTGAAGGCGATGGAGAAGGAGAACAGGGAACAGGTGTCCGGACTTTACGCACTCACAACGGAAAAAGAAGAAAAAAAAGACCGCAATGAAGAAGGTCGTGATAGAGGTGCGGCAATAGAGTCGACCAGGGAAGAGCATGCACAGTATGCAAATTTCAATTCATAATTTCATACATGAGTGCCACCCTCCCACATTATTCCTTTTTCACATGCAGAGCGAATGTGTGCCACACCATGCAAAATTCCAAGTGGGAAGGTCGGTAGGTGCTCTTAAAGGGCTTCTTGCTTGGGAAACCTGACCGCCCTTGGAAGGTTAGCTAAGTTTACTTGTTTCGCTCACTGCGTGTATACAGCACAGCTGAAAATTTTAATTGGAAGGGCTGGTACTGGCCTCGGGGAACAGTCCACACTGGCTATCCCCATTGTTTTTCTTTGGCACATCACTCAGATGCGATGAACAAAACATTTTCAAGAAGGTAGGACTGACACCCCAAGTATTGATTTGGGGAAGGGCTGTGCAATCTCAGCTGCTGCCTTCGCCCACACGTTCGGTGTCCACTTCGGCACAGACAAGTTCCACAAAGGTTCTGCGGTGCATGCACATTGCACCATGACCTTACAACATGACCTTACCTAAATACTCGTGACCTTGCCTAAATAGGCGTGACCACTTCTTCCATGGTGCAGGCACAGCAAACCAGGACTTAACCATGACGTTACCTAAATAGTCATGACGTGATCCTGGCTATCGACCAACAGACAGGTTAATTGCTGCAATCATTTCTAGAACAGTTGGACCATAGGGACAAGCTATGAACTGATTAGCAGAAAGTTGCCTCCATTGGGCTGTTGAAAACACAGCAGACGGTCATTTCCCACGACATCAGCTCTTAAATGCACACCTGAGCACTATTTCTCGCACCCGTCACCACCTTGTAGGTGTTGTTCCTTCCTGGTTTCTCAGTGCTAAGCAGTGCTGAACACTGAGAACCGACGACAAGCACGCACTGAGTTCAAACCATGAATCGCAAAACAAACATTATGGCAACCCTGTTTTTAACCACTGTCTTTGTAACTGTCTATGTACTATGGGTATTAATTGATGTAGGCCTCACAAAGCAACCGCACTAACGTGCAGCTTAATATGGTAATAGCTGCAACAGCAAGACAGAGAAAGATTGATATGATGAGTGGGTTATGTCAAGGAAGTCCTAGTGTGTTTATGGCCTCTGCGGCCTGTGAAATCGCACGCAGCTCAGGACTGTATTGTCACTGGGTCACAGCTGATGGACCAATACAAAACAAACTGGCGCGGGGAGGCCTGTTTTTCATATTTTCGCCTGGAGCCGCCAGCCATTTCGTCCCAATAGGCCGAGCCCCGAAAACTGTGGTGCATTAACGGCCATGTCTGAACAGAATGATATGATTGGGAAAGGTGCCCGTGGTTTAAGCGCAGTGAGGTCGTGCACACACATTTTACGTACAGTAGGGCACATCTTGAGCCTTTGCTGGCAAGCAAACAAACTACTTATCAGAAGGGCCTAGGGGCACGGCCTCCCAGGTTATGCCTGCATATCCTTTCTGCAGAATGCATGTCTTGCAGCAGCATACTTCCAAGCTCCTTGTGCACATGCGTGACTGCGATTTGATGTTGCCCGTTTAGAAGTGGACTCGAACCACCGACAGAACCCGAATGGAAAGCCCGTTTTGAACCTCACTCTTATGGAGTCAGGCCAGGACGTAGTTGTCAAGATGCCATGGAATCTCTGCATCGCGCAGACAGACTTTGGGTGCTAAGATCCCACCACCAATCCCCTACCTTTCATGGTCGCCCTGGAAACCAGAAGGCTGGATTGGCAGTCTGACAGCCACAGCTTCCTTTGTACGCCCCGCAGGGGTTGGCCTCATTTCTCGAGTGGTAGAGGGTGCTTAACCACAAGCCAGGTGGCTCATAGCAGCCATATTCACTTTTGCGGGGGCCTGCCAAATGTGCTGTAATAGAAATCAGCCCACATCAGCCCACATGACCACCTGCTGTATGGCGATGCACGCCGTGCGCCACTCATTGGCGTGTGCCATGCATTTACACCATACTATATAGCATCTAGTTTTGCAAGCTATCACAAATGTTAACGTAGCGATTTGGAAAAGAAGCAAAATAACTGCAGAAGAAATCACAGGGTGACAAACGAACGTTGCACCAGAGGTGAGTCATGTGCACTGATCTCAAGCTGGCACACATGCTTCTGCATTTTAAAATAGCAATACAGAAATGAAATACAAAGGAAATCGTAACGCCACAAAAGACAGCTGCACGGACATTGAGTCTTACGCAAAAGCGAAAACATTAAATTGCCAAAAAATTGGTGTATAGCGGTATTACCCCATCGCCGTTGAGAGGTATGCAGCAGTGGAAACTTCAATATTATGCATGGCAATTGACGAGCAGACGGCGGACTGCTTTTGGCCACTTTTGTCAAGCACTGCATAGGAATACGCCCTCTCTAATGGCTGGGTTTTTTTTTTTTTTTTTTTTTGAATGCTCCCAGTTCTCATGCAGATTCCAGAGTGAAAAAAATGGCAGAAGAAACGATCACCGGGAGGACAAATCTTGATCACATGCCACTTGTTCTTTTTTGGGCGGGAGTCCATGTATGAAACAACTTTCTGACAGACTTCTTATGGATTATCCCTTGTCGCAAAGAATGCTATCTCAGTCTCACTCGATAGTTATAAAACTGTTTACAAACGGGTCACTATATAAAGCAGAAAGAGGAATAGACTCGATAGAGAAAAAAAAAAATTTCACAAACAGTTGGAGGAAACGTCCAATAGCAGACATGACATTTCACAGTTCTCATTCACAGCACATCAACATGTACATGTGCACTCCACCATATATGCTTTCCCAACAATTAAAGGCATACTCATACACAACATATCAACTGACACGGGTGGACTCTAGCATACATGCTTTCCCAACAATGCAAGGATGTCGGCATGGATGTCAGCATGCCCTGAGACTGCTATACGAATCAACAGGACCTACAGCATGGAGATGGACAGCAAGAAACATAGGGGAAACTGGGAGTTGCATCAAACCGTCGACAGAAAGATCAGTTCAAACCATCATCACCATCAATTGCAAGCACTCTAGCAAAGATCGATTCCCAGCAATTGAGAACGACATGGGTAGACAACTATCAAGTAGGGCGATAACATAGGAACTCGAACATGCACAGAGCCAGCAAGGCTGGAGTCCCTCTGAGAGCTCAATATGGATGGAGCAAAATTGTGTCAAAACACTTCTAAAATGATAGCGTACGACAACACAATGTTGTCAAATGAATTGAGTCACCACATAAAACATGCCCATTCATGTGTGCAAGCACAGGTGCACATCGCTGGCAGGCAAGCCATACCCTACCTCGGGTGGCGGAGGATGCGACAACACCCCACTGCTGGCAACGGTGACGGTTTGCGGTTTTCCCCAGGTCTGTACTTCATCCTCCGGCGACTGAATGACCGGTGGCGGTGGCCAAGTCGGCTGCACAGGGGACCTGGCCTATACTCACACATCCGCGCGTTTTTGCTCACTCAGTTCCAGTTTCCCACATCACACAAAAAACTCAACTGAACAGCTGCTATGGAGTCAGCTCTCACACATTACAGCAAATGCAACCAATCGGACACAACAACATGAACCGACAAGAGAACATCGAGTAGCTTGTCCAACAATTAAGCACGTAAATACTTCGCAATCAGTACCAATTCCTTACACACCATACACTGAGACAGGTCAAGGCCAATGACATAGACGACAATAACAATCCAGATGACCAAAGACAGTGAACGATAAGAGTATAACAATTCTGAAAGCAGTGCATGATATGAATAAACAACTCCGTGCTGTGTGTTTTCCTATTTCTCCATGAACAAGAATCGTACAGACAGCTAGAGGTAAGATCGTAATTATGATAACAATTAGCTACTAGCAATGCTCCAACTACTGTGACATACCAAAAGCCTGGAGGCTACAGAACCAGGTCAGCTGAAGCATGAACATCGGAGTTCGAAAAAGACAAATTGCATTCCTTATATGAAGAGAAGACAGAAAGGAGCATGAAGATTGCAGAGAGAGCTGCCAGACAGGAATTGAATTACGAGCAGCAACAGTGTTGTGAATGCATAAATACCTTGATAGACTTCTTCCCAGCCCCTGCCAAACTTGGTACACCAGGTCCATCCACGGAAGCTGGCCACTCCCTCTCTGGTGTGACAGAAATCCTCTGCTTCTTCTTCTTTGTCCCCTTGTCTCTTCCCCAAATTATGCCCGTATTCCCCTCCCCACCGCCCAAGGATGCACTGGTCTGCACCGCCGAATTCGCAGCCGTAGTTGGAGCAGTACTGACAGCAGTGCTGGTTCCTATCCCGCTGATGACGTCTCGTCTTATTCCAATACCAGGAGTGGATGGAGCTGCACAACCGCTGCTGCCACCTCCACCACAAGCATCAAGATTTACTCCCCCCTCACTCTTAACCTCAGACGACGACCCCCCAAACACAACTGGTCCCCTCTCACTTCCAGTTGACAGATCTGATGTGCTCAACATCCCAGCTCCACCAGGCAACGACCCATGCCCCCCAGATGCCACTCCGCCAAGTGTACCAACAGGAGATGGGGGTACAGCACTTCCATTCTGCCTCTCCATTGATCCAATGACAGGACCCCTGGCACTCCTCATCCGTTTCGGAAGAACCATCGTACCACCAAGACCGCTGGACAAACTCATGTGTGACCTCTTCCCAGTTGCCGAGGAGGAGACAGGAGGAGTCAGTCCTCCCAACGCCGGAGTTTTGGTGCTAACGTTTACCAAGGATGTGCGTGGTGGCAATGGCCTTGGAGGTGAGACTGCAGGAGCAAGACCCTCTGGTAATCTAGGGACCTGTCCTTTCCTACTCTTCTTCCTCTTCTTCTTCGAAAACATGACCATACCAGGCATTCCCGGCATACTCATTCCTCCGGGCCTTGGCTGGTAGAGGTACTGAGACTCCTGCTCATCAGCGCTGAGAGTGGTGCCACAGCCAGGAACACCTGCGCACATTGGCATCGTTGACTGAGAACTCCTTCCTGCCGCTCCAAGCCCTTCTCCAAAGCTCCCCTGCCCAATCCCCATGGCATCTCCTACATGAGCCATGCCTTCATCTGCAATCGCCTGCACCTCCAGGACTGTTAGCTGTTCCCGAATCTTCTTCTCACGCAGCTACCATAGGCACCCGCAGAGCAAAAACAGAGCACAGCACCCAGCAGAAATGTTAACAAGACGTGTCCATGCAGATTCACCATGCACAAGCAGAACTCGTGAATTTCAGACTTCCACAACGTCATCCATGCAAACATCCTCAACATCAGACGTATTTCAGAAAGAGATTTGAAACCACGTCACACGGTGCAACCAACCAAACCCATCACATATCAAGAGCTCCACCCTCCCGCCTTCCTGCCCATCCTGTCACTCCATGACACAGCACATGAATACGATGACAGTTCACAATACGTACCGAATCCAGCTCTGCCTGCTCACCCTCCACTGCATTGCGATACGATTCCATGGCACCAGGCGGTGGACAGTATACCAACGGTTCCTGGAGAAAGAAGAAGCCAACGAGCACAAATGGACGGAACAGAAGGACATCACATGTGAGGCAGAATGTCTGAAAAGCCCTAATGAGGCAGAAACCTGAACACCCTAAGAGTTCATGGCACATAAATGCATGGAGAGAGACATCCTGAACATAAAAGCCAGCATGCATATTCCCCACACGACCTGCGCACTGACAAGCTGCCAAAGAAGCCCCGAACCCCACCAAATTAAAACTCAAGCTAGGCACACTTCCTCGAAACCATTTCTAAGTTCAATGCAACGTTGCACCACTACCAGTTGCGGACATCGCCGACCGACTATGACATCCCACCAGCTCAACAGTTTTACAGATAATCAGCTCTCACTAACACAGGGCATTGCTGGGCACTTTCCATGTTTGTACCGTTTTGTCTGGAATGTTGGAAATGGGGCTAGGTGGTGTCATTTTTGGCGAAATTTTCACCGAAACGGTGAAAACTGCTATGTTTCCAGGATTTTTGCTTTTGCAAGGAAAATGAGCGATAGCGAGATGACAATGAATGCACAATCACATTGAAGGCCAGATAGTATCAGTGTCCAGAAAGCAGAAATGCACCAATATAACACCAATGAAGAATCGTAACACTGAAAAACCAATGTCAATGAGAGCTTGCGCTCGCCACCACCAACATGAGTGTCCAGGCCCTACCTCCCTACTTGGCGCTCGGCGCCCAGCCTACTTCCTACACAGCTACAGTCTGCCTACTAATTGACAATGCAACTGTTGATGTCAGCACATCACGAAGTACTTGAATATGTCGCCCAATGCAGACCATCGCCAATACCAGGTATGTGCCCTCACATCATCATCATCATCATCATCATCATCATCATCATCCCTCTCTCTCTCCCTCTTCTTACACCCACGTCTTCCCTCAGTACACCCGAAGACCACCCCTGCGCCTCACTGTACAACTAAGCCCTCAGCCAGCTATGGAGGCTGGGCTATGGCGCTGCCCTCAGCAGCGCCCTGCTTCCACACACGACCGTACGTGCGCAGCACCTTGCTCCAGCGCTACCAGCCAGCACGCGAGCGAAAGCTCCAGCAGCGCTGCCGCCAGCCAGCAAGTGCCTGAATGATCATCCAGGCAGTGAGCTCTTTCCTATATGGAAAGAGTCTGCCTGCCTTAGCATCCTGGATGGCTTGGACCTGGGCCCAGAACCTTCCGGTAGGTCACAGGATGGTGCGCCTCTGTTGCAGCTACTGGGCCTCATTCGGTTGGGCCTCCCAACTGTCTGTGTATGAGCCTGTGAATCTCGTCCAGGGCCTGCATCATTTTGGAAAGGCCTGCAAGGCCCTGGAATGTCTTGCTGCTCGGCCTGTATTTCACTCAACCAACTGGCGCGTCGAAACTGCCTGGACCGGGTGTGGACCCAAATACGAAATTGACAGCTGAGGGCCACTCGTGATTTTGTTAGGCCCGCCTTCACTTAGGGCGGGCACATTCGCAACAGGGCCCCTTAGGCCTGCCGAGGACAAAGATCCTCGCATTCCCCCCTCCTTTTCTTCCATAGTCCTCTGAGAAGTCTTCTAATCTGCAGGCATCTTCCCCTTCAGTTCTCTTTCGTAGCCTGCGATAACCTGAGGTGCTGTTCTCATGAGTTCTTCTCTGGTGAACCACCGATCTTCCTTGGGATCCAGATGATGTCTGAATCTGACCCGGTATTGCATTCTGGGCTTAGGAGGGTGGCCTCTGCCCGGTGGTTTAGGCATTGGCATCACTCGATGCTCTACGATTCCGTCGATGTCGACTTCGCCATCCATGGTTGGGGGCAGCATTGACCGTCTGGAAGGAAACTGTGCAGACTCTGCGAAAGGTGCCAACTTTGAAGTGTGGAAAACTGGATGTGTACGTAGATGAAGTGGGACGTGAATCACATAAGGAGGTCCGTCTATCTGATCCCCCACCATATCTAGGAACTCCCACGGACAAAAATACTGTGGCATCAGTTTACGAGATATGCCCAGCTTCTGACCCAGTTCAGATGACTTAACCCAGACTCTATCACCTACCTGAAAGTTAGAGGGCCGTCTATGTTTATTCTCAGATGCAATCATGGACTCCTGAGATTTCGAATATGTTCAACGGCCTGCTGCAGCATTTGTTCATACTTAACAGCAAACTCTATGCTGCCAGGTGCTGCAGTGGGCTGCCTTTCGGGTAGCAGAAAATCAAGTGCAGTTCTGGGCTTTCAACCAAGATGCAATTGGTTGGGAGTCACGCCGGTAGTACTGTGAGTATGAGCGGCTAACACTCCTACTACCCCAAGGTGTTTCCCTGCGAAGTGCTCGCAGATGCACTGTCAGGGTTGGAGGATAAGCCCACTACTGTTGGAGCGGCTACCCTCGTGGTGACCTTCTTGCCTCGGCAAGTTCTTGACGTGTGGCCATAGTTGCCTCAGTTCATGCATGTGCCCCTGGCAACTCGGTCCCTCAATACCTCGTAATCTAAACCAAGTTTTACCCATGCGGGTGTTCCTTGGTCACCCTGACCCGTAGACCGGCCTACCTTCTTCTTCCCAGCCCCTTAGCCTTTTCTTTGATAGGCGCCACGACTCCCCCATTTGAAGTCTCATTAGCCCCATCATGCTCTGTCTCTTCCCCAAGGTCTGAGAAGTCCTCAATTTCAGTCGTCTGACCATCATGGTCGATGAACATCATTTGACCTTTCTTCTTCCAGTCCTGGGTTAATCTCTTTTTCCTACCATCTCCCTGACTTTGATGCGCGGACCCAAGCTTTGCCTCAACATCTAAGGCTTTCTTGCTAAAAGAGGCGAAGTTATGTTGGTCGACATAGGCCTCATCCGCCAGCTTAGTCTTTACCTCTGCAGGCAGACATCTCAAGTAATCGGTAAGGAGAACCTGCTGGTCGTAGCGCACACTAGGTACCACAAGCAGTCGTTCTACGGTGTCTGTGAGTTTGCAAACATTCTTGTACCTTTTGGCACAAAGAGTGTGGATGGCGTCGGTGGCCTTTTGAGCCCCTTGAGGCTCATGCCACCTATTATACAAAGTTCGTACGAAGTCTTCTAATGTCTGGGCTTGGGCCAGGCATTGAAATTCTGTCCGTAGCCCTGTTGCTGCACTAACCAATTCAACTAACGAGCTGCCGATTCCTCTAAAAAGGAAGCAGCAACTACAACTTCCTGCTCTGGCCAGGTGAGCTTGTGCCTCACATAGGTAGGCATAGTCCTCACCCAAGAATCCAAGTCCTCGTCCTTCTTCCAGTCGCCAGAGAAGGGTTTCGGACTCGGCAAGGGTATCCACTGCATAGGTTGGACCTGCCCAGGCGATTGCTGCAGTGGTTGCATGGCCACTGAGACAGCTTGCTGCACACTAACCTGCGATTGTCCAAACAATGGCATTGTAGCTGTCACCGTCCTCGATGGTACGGGAAAAGAAATCAGAACCTGACCATTGACTACTGGTTGACTACCTGAAAGAGGAATGCCATACATAGGAGAGAAAGAGGGCCCTATCGGTGACGGCGTCACTGAGGGACCCGCAATCGAAGGGGGAGCTACAGCATACTGAGGCTGCCTCATCACTGGACGAGGAGCCTGCACTGCAACCAGGATTCGTTTCTGGCCGTCCACTAGTTCGGCCAGCACTTCGTACTGGACAACCTGCGTTTCTGCCACACAAAGGAGTGAGCGACGCAGCGCTTGCATTGCAGGGTCAAGTGTCGACTCGTCTAGTGCCTCTAGATTTCTTAACTCCTGCCTCCTAGCTCCTAGTCTAGCTTTTCTAGTGATAGCCCTTTGTCTCCTCTCTGCTGCATCCCTTTCCTTCGGCACTCGGCCATGTGGTAGACGCCCCCTAATCCTATAGGACTCTCTCTGCTGCATCTCTAAATTGCTGCTATAGTTGATCATGCAGTTCTTCTGCTTGGAGGATCTCATAATCCTCAGGTGTGAGTGGCATCTGCTGGCTGACTTGTAAGCCAACAGAGTGACTAATAGAAGTCTAAGAGATACCTTGACTGCCACCTGAAGAAGAGGCCTGGGACACTGTAGAGGAGGTAGCCATCGCAACCTCAACCTGAACTCTAGTGTCCGCTAGTCTTGCTGCTGCAAGTGTCCATTCAGCGTTGGTCGCTGTTGTCCTAGCCCTCTCTAATATCGTCCTTTCCCTAGCTTCCCTTCGCAGCCGCCTTTCCTCTCCCTGGCCTAACTCCAAGAAGGTAATCGGTTGACTGAGTGCAGTTCTACGAGTCACTCTAAGATGTTCCACCACTCGTTCCTCCTCCTCACTACCGCCTGCATCACTCATGAGCTACAGTGTGTGTGATCTAAAAGTCCACACTGAATCCTACCTCAGCATGACACACAACCGGGTATGAACAATCAACTATTTCTGGTCAACCTAGAGAGTAGTCAAGTGGTAACCAGCAATCAATGTCGGGTCCTACAGGTAATTTCAATTCTATTTTTAGATTACTCTTACACAGAATGCAATGCAGCAAGGAAGGAAACTAACCTATCTGCAGTTGTCTGTCAGTTGTTAACAAGTCCGTACAACCAAGTAATCAAAATAAAAATAATTACCAGTGGAGATGCATGCTGGATGGCAATTCATCTAATTAGTGCCACAACGAACAGTTACCGGAATCCAACCCTCCCCCTGTATCCCTGAGTAGTCACTTTCTTTTGACGTCCTAAGCATCTGGTTGAGCAGCGTGTCTGAAGGAGTGCAATCCAGCCCACCCCTGTGCCCCAAGTCTACGCCGAACCTGCCAGCCCCTGCACCTTGTTTATCCTCGCATGCAACGAGCCTTACGCCCCTTTGATCTGGCTGATCAAGAGGCGGTTTAAGGACAGCCCCCAAGGTCCTCAAGAATTATTTAACATCGCAGACAGGACGACGATCACAGCCAGAGTCAACACCTAGTCCCCGCCAGAAATATTTAAAGACGGTCTGGTAAGCGTCTGTTCAAAGGGCTGGCATGCCCTGCATGACCT